GAAGATTTCAAAGAGCAGCTCAAGAACACAGTCAATTATAATTAAATGTGCAAAGACCTGGAGTTAGAAAATCAAAAGGGAAGAACATGCTCAGCTTTTTTCAAGCTGAAAGAACTGAAGAAAAAAATCAAGCCTCGATTTTCAATATTGTAAGAGTGAATGGGAAAAATATTGAATGATGCAGGAAACATCAAAAGAAGATGGAAGGAATACACAGAGTCACTGTACCAAAAGAATTGGATGATGTTCATCCATTTCAGGAGGTGGCATATGATCAAGAATTGATGGTACTGAAGGAAGAAACTGAAGTTGCGCTGAACATGTGGCGAAAAACATGGCTCCAGGAATTGAAACATTAAGATGTTTCAAAAAATGGATGGCACTCATTCATCTATGCCAAGAAATTTGGAAAACAGCCACTTTGCCAACTGACTGGAAGAGATCCATATCTGTACCCATTCCAAAGATAGGTGATCCAACAGAATGTGGAAATTATTGAACAATCATTAATATCATACACAAGTAAAATCTTGCTGAAGATAATTAAAAAACAGTCGCAGCAGTATAATAACTGGGAACTTCCAGAAATGCAAGCTGGATTCGAAAGTAGATGTAGAAGGAGGGATATCATTGCTGATGTCAGATGAATCTTAGCTGAAAGCAAAGACCAACCAAAAAGATGTTTACTTCTGTTTTATTGACTATGCAAAAGCATTTGATTGTGTGGATCATAACAAATTATGGATAACATTGAGAGGAATGGGAATTCTGGAACACTTAATTGTGCTCATGAGGAACCTGTACATAGACTAGGAGGTTGTCATTCAAACAGAACAAGAGGATACTGCATGGTTTAAAATCAGGAAGGAAGTGTCAGGGTTGTATCCTTTTACCATACTCATTCAAACTGTATGCTGAGCAAATCATCTGAGAAGCTGAATATGAAGAAGAACATGGCATCAGGATTGGAGGAAGACTCATTAACAACCTGTGATATGCAGATGACACAACCTTGCTTGCTCAAAGTGAGGATGACTTGAAGCACTTACTGATGAAGCTTAAAGACTACAGTCTGCAGTGTGGATTATACCTCAACATAAAGAAAACGAAAATCCTCACAACTGGACCAATAAGTAATATCATGATAAATGGAGAAAAGATTGAAGTTGTCAAAGATTACATGTTACTTGGATCCACATCAACACCAATGGAAGCAGCAGGCAAGAAACCAAATGTATTACAGTGGGCAAATCTGCTGCAACAGACCTCTTCAAAGTGCTGAAGAACAAAGATGTCTCTTTGAAGACTAAGGTGTGCCTAACCCAAGCCACGATATTTTCAATAGCCTCATATGCATATGAGAGCTACATAATGAATAAGGAAGACTGAAGAAGAGTTGATGCTTTTGAGTTGTGGTATTGGCAAAGAATACTGAAAGTACCATGGACTGCCAAGAGAACAAATCTGTCTTGGAGGAAGTGCCACCAGAATGCTCCTTGGAAGCAAAAATGGACAGACTTTGTTTGACCTACTTTGGTCATGTTGTCAGAAAGGACCATTCCCTAGAGAAAGATATCATGCTTGGTAAAGTGGAGGGTCAACGAAAAAGGGGAAAGCCCTCAACAAAATGGGTTGACATAGTGGCTGTAACGAGGGGCTTATGTATAGCAAGTATTGTGAGACTGGCACAGGATTGGGCAGTGTTTCCTTCTGTTGTACATAGGGTGGCTATGAATTGCAGCAGACTCAACAGCACCTAACAACAACACAACAATGAAATGTTCATATGGTTTTCCTTTAGTCTATTGACATGGTGAATTATACTGATTAACTTTTGATTGTTGAACCAGCCCTGAATTGCCAGGATAAATACCACTTGGTCGCAATGTATTGTATTGTATTTTTATATATTGCTGAGTTTGATTTCCTTTAATTTTTTAAAGAATATTTGCATCAATATTCATGCAGGATATTGGTCTGTAAGTTTATTTTCCAGTAATATCTTTGTTTCATTATGCTATCAGGGTAATGTTGGCCTCATTGAATGACTTCTGAAGTATTCTAACCTCAATTTTATGTTTGTTTAAAATTGGCATTGTTTCTCCTGTAAATATGTGATACATTACCAATGATGCCATCGGTGTCTGCAATGATCTTTGTGTGAAAGCTTTAAATTTTTTTTTTATTGTGGCTAGTGAAAGCTTTTAAATACAAATTCAATTCCTTTAATAAGTTTAGGGGTAGGTATTAGCCCTCAATGATGCTTTCTTCTCATTAGTTACCTGTTTTTTTTTTTTTTTTAATCTGGAAAATTCTTTAAATTTAACAGGGTCATATATGGTACTTCCAACTGAAAGGCATAATCCTATAAATACAACTGTTTTTGTGGTCATGATATAACAAGTGACAGCCATGTGAAAGATCAAATGTAACTGGAAATTTCCTCCTCAGTGTTCCTTCCCAAATTACAAGGAATAACATTTCTCCATCCTGCTACTTTCCCTTTAGGAGCTCTGGTAGCATAGTGCCTAAGGAACTTGACTGCTAACCAGAAGGCTGGCGGTTCAAACCCACCAGCCACTCCTTGGAAGGAAGATTGGGCAATCTACTTCCGTAGTGATACTGCCTTGGAAACCCAAGGAGGGGTCGCTATGAGTTGGGTCCGACTCGATGGCAAATAACAACAACTTTTCCTTTGTCCTTCCATTCTATTACCTTCAAATATGTCCATTTTTTTCCCTCATTTCCCAGCTACCATTGTAGCTGTGATCCTCCTTACCTTATGCCCATACTATGTGCATCAGATTTTCATGCTAAACATTCCACTTATAACCTTTCCTCTTTCCCTTTCTTTCCAAGCAAAGATAAGAGTTGTAAAGTTGAGTCTTCCAGAGCCTCTTTCATTATGTCAATCCAAGATATACAATATACTCAGAGCCTGATCCTCATTTCTCCCTGAGAATAATTTCAAATTATTGGTGAAGCAGCCCATGTGTCAAATGACTGCTTTTCTATCTCGTTAACTGGCTTCTCTTTTTTCCAAAGCAGATAAATGTCTGCTTACCCATTGCATAGACTAGCATTTCCCCCTTCTGAGCATGTAGGTTTTCTCAAGCATGATCCTGATGTAAATCCTCCCATTCCTCCAATTACCTTCCCAGTGCTTCCTCCAATCACCTCTCCTTAACATATGCATTCTCTTAGCCCTCTATACATTTGGACAGTGACTCTTTGTTAATTTACCTATATTTAAATTTCAGATAATTCTTAACAAAATGATTACAACCACAACTACAACACTGTGAATAGGCCAAGGAAACCTACACAAATGGCTTCCTTGTAGATGTTTTCATGATATCATGTTAAAATCTAATTATTTTTTCAGATTATTATTGACAATACCAATTCAATACCAATTCTATTATAGTAATCGGGAAACGATAGAATTTTTCTTCCCTGGGTTTCACTCACCAGATTGACAAAAATCACTGTTAATATAAAAAATTGGCAAGGATATGGGAAATAGGGACTCTCATATAGTCTTGGTGAGAATGTAAACTGTCAAAATCTGGTGAAGTTGAAAATGTACATCCCTAAACCCCATATAACCCAGCAATTCTACTTATATGCTCTAGAGAAACTCAAGGAGATGTATACCAGGGACATGTACAAGGATATTTATTATAACAAACAAACTGGAAACAACCTATATCCACTTCTCATTTAATGACATGGTTAGGTTCCAAAGATCAGGTCATTATGTGAAAATCAGTGTCATGCAAAAATGAAAGATGACCACTTCAGATCACAAAATGGAGGATGACTGCATCATTACATAACTGCCAAATTAGATCATTACATAACCACCAAACCACTGGGAAACCACTGGCCCAGCTAAATTGATACATAACCCTAACCATCACAGCCTGCATTAGTCTTGCCTTGCACTTTCGTGTTCATTACTGCCAGATATACGTTGTTAATGTGCAAAATAGTCGGATAATACATTTTTTACTATTGTCATAAATGTGAAATGTCAGATAACAAATTGATAAGTGAGAAGTAGGTGTAATTGTCCATCAAAAGGATAATGGACTAATTGTTGTTCAACTGTATAACTGAATATTACACAGCATTTAAATGAACTAGGTTTATATATATATTAACATGGATTAATCTTAAAAATATAACAAGTGAAAAAAGCAAGTTACAAAATGATCCATAGACTATGATACAATTTCAAAAAACTTTAAAAACTCAAAAAGTACATTTTATGTATACACACACATGCACAATATATAAAATATGGATGGAAAAGATACTTACCAATTTCAGTATAGTGATTACTTCTAGTTTGGGGAGAAATACAAAATAAATTTCAACTCTATCTCTATTATTTTATTTCTTATAAAAAATATCTCAAGTAAATATCAACAAAATGTTGAGGTCCATTATATGTAGGAATAGATACACAGGTGTTTATTTTTTGTTCTTCCTGTAAGTTAGAAATATTTCATAGCAAAATTAAGGAAAATATTAATCTAGTTGTGCTTTAGGAAGTATTTTTTATATCTTTAGAGTGTGTGGTTCACTTTTTAAAAGGCTGTGTGTATAGTATAGGAGTATTGTAGATTATGGGACTGGGGTTAGGGGAATAAGCTGAGAAGGGAAAGGAGAGAAAATGCAGACCTGAGGTTGCCTAGGTGTGCATAGAGGGAGAAGTGAGGCCAACTTCAGGAAAGGAAGAAACACAGAATGACTGGGTATTGGCAGAAAAGAAAGAAAAGAAACGAAAATTGCTTCAGTTTCCAGCTGGATAACATCTTTCAAGGCAGGAACTAGAGTTTATGCTTTGTTCTCATTTTCTGTACCATGGATACTCATCTCCTTCCAATGGGCACTTGATCCATTATATCAACTGTCTGCTATTCTGTGTCTTGCCAGCAAAATTCACAACCTGGACACTAATACACTGCTTATTGATTATGCTTGACACTCACCACTCAAGTTTAGTTGCTGGAGATCATTTAAAAATAGAAAAGATGGTGGAAGATATATTATTCGATTGTTGCATGCGTTTAAACTAACCAAACTTCTCAATTGCCCTATATTCCTTGGTAACTCTCTGATTGCATTATTTGAGATATCAAGTTCCTTAAGTTGAATCAAATTACACAGTTCTTCTGGAAGTCCTGTTAACTGTAACAAAGATTAAATAATTATACTTTAATAATGATTATGTTTAAAGCTTTCTCTAAGATTAACAGAAAGGAGAGATATTTTTATCCTAGAAATGAGTACTTTCATTATGCCCTAATTTCTTAGTGACATCCCTCCTGTCTAAAACCTGCAAGATACTGTGTGACCTCCAAGTAACTCCCTGATATGGCCAGTGCTACCAGTTTAACCCTTTGTCCTAATATGCTTTCTTCAATCTCCTAACACAGGTGTTTATTGCTGCCTTATCCCTTTTTTCCTTCCTCCTGCTGCTTCCCTCTCCAAATCTGACTATGTTTTGGTTTCTTCTCCTCCCTGAAGCCTTTCCAAACTGCTCGGTCCCACGTTTGATCTCTTTAGTCATTCCTACCCTCATTGATTGCTGTTGTTGCTTTGTGCCGTTGAGTCGGACCCAACTTACAGCGACCCCCTCCTTGGGTTTCCGAGGCAGTGTCACTACAGAAGTAGATTGCCCTATCTTCCTTCCGAGGAGTGGCTGGTGGGTTTGAACCACCAGCCTTCTGGTTAGCAGTCAAGTGCCTTAGGCACTATGCTACCAGAGCTCCTCCTCATCGATTAGGAATTGTTATTTATTAGTACATTGTATTTTCCTTGGATTCTGAAATGACATGATATTGCATGTTTTATACCTTTTGTGAATGTGTTCCCAAGCAGTAAATAAAACCCTTTAGAATGGAACCACATAGTTTGGCAACATGAACTAAAATAAAGTCCCCAATACAAAAAAAAAAAAAATGTTGCAACATGGCAGGAATTAAAACACTTTGCTAATGTGAGGAAATATGTGCACTTGAAGAAAATAAGTCCATTACAAGTGGTTTTTTAAATAAAGGAGATTCTTCTAGTTCTAATGAACTAGAAGAATTCTGAACATATGGGCCCCTCAGAAATCAACCAACCAACAAGGTACATGCTGGATATTGTACTTGATGTTCTTCAAGATATAAAAGAAGCATGTTGTTGTTGTTATGTGCCGTTGAGTCGGACCCGACTCATAGCAATCCCTCCTTGGGTTTCCAAGGCAGTATCACTACAGAAGTAGATTGCCCCATCTTCTTACCGAGGAGAGTCCCTAACTTTAAGGGAATTAAAATTTAGTTCAGGCAACAAAATGTACTCATATGAAACAAGAAAGCAGTAAGTAATCAAATGCCAAAATAAAGACTACTGCTAATAACAGATATATGGAAGTTTAGATAAAGCAGAGCAGTAAAAGTCAGAGGACTAAAAGAAAGCTTTGTGTAAAAGGTATTTGAATAGCCTCTTTTAAATGAGTAGAATAGAAATTACAGGACACGTAAGGCAAGGCAAATATTGTGCATAAAAATGGCCAGTGAGAAATTAACCAGTAAAGAGAGGTGATGGGAAGCAGAAGGAGACATACGTAGATAAGGAGACAGTGAGGCTTGACAACAAGGCCTATGACACAGGAGTAAGATCACAACAGGTGAGCAGGCCTACCATTTGACAAGCCTTCAAACAAATATGCTTTAATCACTTTTTGTTGTGTTGTTAAGTGCCAACAACAAAAACACTGCTCAGTCCCGCACCATCCTCACAGTCTTTGCTGTGTTTGAATCTATTGTTGCAGCCACTGTGTCACTCCATCTCACTGAGGGTCCTTCTCCTTTTTTGCTGACCCTCTACTTTACCAAGCATGATGTCCTTCTCCAGGCACTGGTCCCTCCTGATAGCACACCCAAAGTACGTGAGACAAAGTATTGCCATCCTTACTTCTAAGGCACATTCTGGCTATACTTCTTTTAAGACAAATTTATCTGTTCTTCTGTCCAAAAAATCCCCAAATCCACAGCTATCAAGTGTTCTGTCAGTCCATGGTATAGCCAACGTTCTTTGCCAACATTGTAATTCAAAGGCATTGATTCTTTTTTTTTTTCAAGCTTTCACTATTACTGACTTTTATTCTCAGTATCTTTATAAATCCAATCTTTATTTGTCTTTGGGCATTAGAAACATATCTTATAAATATATTTTGATATACACACATACATAAAAAATACACAAAAAATCAAAAATTACTTTCATGATGAAGAATCAGATGATCTTGGCATTTTGCCAGTTATCATAATAACTACACTTGTGGAAGGCTCTGAACCATCTGGATTATCCCTGGGAAAGAGGATAGTGTTTCTGGACAAAAAATTAATGAGAGTTGACTGCATGGTCTTTTTCAATTTCTCTTCACATATTTCACAGTAACAGCTCACTGCTTCCTGAATCTGCCTATTGACTTTAGCAAAGTGATCAGCATTTGGGTCCATGTTTTCAAGCAACTGTACCCCTGATTTAGTTTGTTGTTGTTGTTGTTATTTGCCGTCGAGTCAGCCCTGACTCATAGCGACCCCTCCGTGGGTTTTCGAGGCAGTGTCACTACGGAAATAGGATTGCCCAACCTTCCTTCCGAGGAGTGGCTGGTGGGTTTGAACCGCTAGCCTTCTGGTTAGCAGTCAAGTGCCTTAGGCACTATGCTACCAGAGCTCCTGATTTAGTTTAGGGGGGGAAAAAAAACCCTCCAGCTAATCTTTTCACTGTAAATTTTTTTTACTTCTCTTCTTCCTCGTCATTATTTCTTTCTTCTTCAACATTTCTTTCCTCTTCCAGATCTATTAAGTCCTGATCTGTCAATTCCTATTCTTTGTGATTTATGAGCTGTTCCACATCAGTGATACCAAGTTCTAAATTCAGCATTCTTGCTATATGCATGGTTTTTCTACCTATCTCTTTGATTATATTATCCTGATCAAATGCTTGCCATATGTTCACATAACTCAGCATTTTTTCCCAAATGCCCTGCATGCATCTTTTCATAACTTCATCCCAGGAAGATGCAACATTCTGTATACATTGGAGAATATTATGATTCTTCCACAAATTGCTTAATGTTACCATACCTCCAACTGTTGTAGCTATTACCTGAGCAAATATAGTCCATAGGTAATATGCCTTGAAAGTGATAATTGCACGTTGACCCACAGGTTGAATCACAGCTGTTGTATTGGGAAGAAGATATACCACTTTCACGTCTTGATTTAGATAATCTACATGAAGAGGATGTCCTGGGGCATTATCAAATAGTAGCAGAATCTTGACTGTTGTAACTAGAATACATCATAAATTGGGGTACTACCTGTCCCTGAGAGTTGTGTGAAGACAGAACTACTGCAGAAGGAAAATTGTTGGGCATCTTTCACTTAGCAAAATAAAAGTTCTGTAATCAGCTGGACCCATCTTCTTCAGATGACTGTTTAATGACTATTTGCTCTTATATAAAGTAATCATTTAGGAGCTCTGGTAGCATAGTGGCTAAGGCACTTGACTGCTAACCAGAAGGCTGGCGGTTCAAACCCACCAGCCACTCCTCGGAAGGAAGGTTGGGCAATCCTACTTCCGTAGTGATACTGCCTCGGAAACCCAAGGAGGGGTCGCTATGAGTCGGGTCCGACTCGACGGCACATAACAGCAACAGCAAAGTAATCATTTGGCCATCTCATCCCTACCTCAAGGGATTTATCAAGTGGTCATCCCAGTACATAAGATATTCTCCTTGAGACGAGTTCTTGTGGGTTTTTTTTTTAAATAGTGGTATCCCCCCACCATCTAATAATCTCTGAAATAATGTACTGATGTGGAAAGTTGCCCTTGGCAATGATCCACTTTGAGTAGGCAATAGAAATGCAACCTTGATTCCTGACAGGCTGATAAGATACATTGAGAATAGTCCTGTGGAATTAAGTCTGACAGCTTTGACAAGCTCAGATAAAAGGGAAGAGAATCAATCAGAGAGAATATCCAGGAGGCTTCTGGTTAATAATCTAGGCATGAAGTTATGACTGTGGACCATGATGGAGGCAGTAACAATAGAAAATGAAGGAGATTATCCAAGAGCTATTTCAAAAGAAAAGTGAGACAATTTTCATGTAAGTTTGGATCTAACCAGTGATGAAAAAGAAGTCAAAGATGATTCCATAGTTTCTAGCATGGTAGGTTTGAAAGCTGGCATCATGAACAGAAATGGAGAAGTTCTGAAAGGAGTTATGCTGAAAAAGAAAGATGAGTTGGATTTAAAACTTATGTTGAGTTTGAGACAACAAAAGAGTAGGAGAACAGGGAAATTCCAGTGAAACTTGGGAACTATGGGTCCAGAGCACTGGAGAAAGACCAGCTCAGATCATGTAGATTTTGGGACCATATGCATGCAAATGACAAGCATGCTAACATCTAGGAAGGAGTTAATAGAAAGGAAACCAAAGAGAAAACCAAGGACACAACTTTGAAGACATTCACAGTTAGGGTACAGGAAGAGAAAGTAAGAAGATTGTAAACCAGCCAAGGGCATAGCTGATGATTATAATGTAGAATTAAATTTAAAAAGTGTCTTTTTGTACAAAAGCAATTTTTAAAACATAATATGTATTTGTTTTATCTACGTATGCAAGTATTCCCTGAGGTAGCCTTTCTGGAAATGTATTGTATGGTGGTATTAGGTAAAGCTCAAATAAATCTGGGAAATACAGATTAAACAGAGGTAAAATGGTTTCTTTATTGCAATAATTTTCAGTCTTTAATATTAAACCAAAACAAAACAAAACTCACTGCTATTGAGTCGAATCTGACTCATAGCAACCCCTCCTTGGGTTTCTGAGGCGTTATCTCTACAGAAGTAGATTGCCCAAACCTCCTTCCAAGATTCCTTGGCTGGTGGATTTGAACTGCCAGCCTTCTAGTCTTTAATATTACTAATGCTTATTATGACTCTCTAAGAGAAGAACCCAGTTCTTTCCAAAACTATTTGATCATCTACCTCCACTGATCAAATTAAAGATAGCCAGATGACAGCTGTGCTCTCTTTATTAATTTACTAAGACCTTATATCAATTAGTAATATTTTAATTAAAAAAAACCCTATTTCCATAAAATTCAATCTTAGAGTTTAAGTAAAATGAAAGGCAAACATAAAAATAATTGATTTCCATTGATCCAGCAATTCTTTAGGGAAAACTGTCCTAAGGAATTAGGCCAAAATATGAAAAAAGCTATATTTATGAAGTTCACTATAGCATATCTGTGATCCCACAGAATGTAGAAATTATAGAACAATATCATTAATATCACATGCAAGTAAGATCTTACTGAAGATAATTCAGAAACGTTTGCAGCAGTATATTGACAGAGAACTTCCAGAGGTTCAAGCCGGATTCAGAAGAGGACGTGGAACAAGGGATATCATAGCTGTTGTCAGATGGATCTTGGCTCAAGGCAGGGAATACCAGAAAGATGTTTACTTGTGTTTTATTGACTATGCAAAGGCATTTGATTGTGTGGATCATGACAAATTATGGATAACATTGAGAAGAATGGGAATTCCCGAGCACTTGATTGTACTCGTGAGGAATCTGTACCTTGACCAGAAGGCTGTCGTTCGAACAGAACAAGGGGACACTACATGGTTTAAAATCAAGAAGGGAGTACGTCAGGGTTGTATTCTGTCTCCACACTTATTCAATCTATATGCTGAGCAAATAATCTGAGAAGCTGGACTATATGAAGAAAAATGTGGTATCAGGATTGGAGGAAGAATCGTTAACAACCTGAGATATGCAGATGATACAACTTTGCTTGCTGAAAGTGAGGATGACTTAAGGCACCTACTGATGAAGGTTGAAGAATACAGTCTGCAGTATGGATTACATCTCAACATAAAGAAAACAAAAATCCTCACAACTGGACCAATGAGCAGCATCACAATAAATGGAGAGAAGATTGAGGTTGTCAAGGAATTCACGTTGCTTGGTTCTACAATCGATGCCAACGGAAGCAGCAGTCAGGACATTAGACGACGTGTAGCATTGGGAAAGTCAACTGCGAAGGAACTGTTTCAAGTGCTGAGGAGCAAGGATATCTCCTTGAGGACTAAGGTGCGCCTGACACAAGCCATGATATTTCCAATCGCCTGGTATGCATGTGAGAGCTGGACAATGAATAAGGAAGACCGAAGAAGAGTTGATGCTTTTGAGTTGTGGTGCTGGCGAAGAATGCTGAAAGTACCGTGGACTGCTAAAAGAACTAACAGATCTGTCCTGGAGGAAGTGCAGCCAGAATGCTCCTTGGAAGCAAGAATGGCCACACTCCGTCTCACCTATTTTGGTCATGTTGTAAGAAGGGACCATTCCCTGGAGAAGGATGTCATGCTTGGTAGGGTGGAGGGTCAACGAAAGAGGGGGAGGCCTTCAAGGAGATGAATTGATACGGTGGCTGCGATGATGGGCTCAAGTATAGCAGGGATTGTGGGGCTGGCGTGGGATCGGGCAGTGTTTTGTTCTGCTGTGCATGGGGTCGCTATGAGTCGGAAATGACTCGATGGCACTTAACAACAACAACAACATAGCATTATTAATGATGATGGAAAATTACAACATTCCTAAATGCTTAACAACAGAAGATTATTTACATAAGTCATATATTTGTTACAGTGATTATTGAGATGATTATGGCATATCATGGGAAAATGCTTACTAAATATTAAGTGAAAATGAAGAACATAAAATTGAGTTCAGACTTTTAAAAATTGTCTGCAAGAAAAAAAAGAAAAAGAAAACTAAAACACTAGAAGGCAGTTTTGCCAATATACAACCCATAGAACTATTACCATGGTGTGCTTGTGTTATGACTTTTTTTTTTTTTTAACTTATTTTCTCTACTATCCAAGTTTTCTGTAATGTGTTTATATTGCATGTGTAACTTTAAAACTCCTTTTATAATTAAACTGAATTTCTTAAAAATGACAAAATTAGTAGCTTAATTGCTTGGCATTTCATTTTAATGAAATATTTTCCTATAAGTTTTTGTGTTGAGAAATACATTTGTAACCCATATTTAGAAAATAAGACTATCCTTTAAAAAACAAAAATATTCCAGTAAATTTTAAACACACACACACACACACACACACACACTACAGCTTAGATTGTGATCCCCTCCCACCCCACTTCCTCTCAAGCCCAACATATCAGCCTCTTACCTTTCTCCCGTTTACCTGACTTATACTCAGCTCTTCCAGTGATTGAAGATGACACAATTCAACAGGAAAATATACAAACTGATTGCTTGAGAAGTTTAATTTCTGGATTCCTTTTAATTTACAGATCTCTGAAGGGATCATCTGTATTCGATTTTCTGAAAGATCAAGTACTTGCAAATTTTCTAAAGCACACAATTCTGTAGGGAAAGTTTCAAATCTATTGTGGCATAAAATAAGCACATGGAGTGATACCATATTGGAAATAAGTGGTGGGACTTTCTTTATTTGATTTTTACCAAGATCCAAGTACTCAAGATTAATAAGGGAACATAGGTGCTCAGAAAATATGATGAGTCTGTTTTCATTAAATTCTAAATGATACAGTTGTTTACTGAAAGATATATCCACAGGTATTTCTGAAATATAATTGCCATTAAAACACAAATAATAAAGAGAATCCAAAGCACACAGTCCCACTGGAAAATGTATTATTTTGTTATAGCTCAAATTTACTTTGGTAATTTTCCTGCAGTTTTTTATTTCAATGGGAACATCTGTGATTACATTTCCTGAAAATTCAAGACTACATATATTACTAAGATGTGAGATATCTTCAGTTATTTTCAACATAATATTTCTGTTTACATGGAGTTTCCTTAAATTTTTAAGCTTGTGCATATTCTTAGGAAGTTCTGTTAATTTATTATCATTAAGACTAAGGGATTCCAACATTACACAGTGGGAAATGTTCTCTGTTACATCTTTCAATAAATTTTTATCCAGTGTGAGAATCCTAAGTTCCTGGAAATTCCCAATTTTGTGTGAAATAACTTCCAACTTATTGTCGGCCAACTGGAGTTCTTTCATTTTGAGCAACTGAAAAATCCCCACAGCCAAAAAAGTAAGTTTATTGTGATCAAGTGAAAGGCTTTCTAAACTTTTAAGTTCCTGAATTTCTTTTGGCAAACTGTTGATCAGGTTTCCATTAAGGTTTAGTGAAATTAACTTTGGAAGGAAGCATAGAGCTTTAGGAAATATTGTTAACTGATTATATTCCAGATTGAGAATCCTCAAATTCTTCAACTTAGATAGCGTTCCTGGTGTGTGTCTTAACTTATTTCTAGCCAAATTTAAAATTTCCAACTTTGTAAGATTTTCTAACTCAGGAGGAAAATTCTCAATATAATTGTTATTTAAAAAGAGTTGCCTGATATTCCCAAGCTGTGATATTTCCTTAGGGATATGTGATATTTGGTTGTGACTGACATTTAAAATTCTTAAATTATGAAGTAAATGAATTTCAGATGGAAGTGATAATATCTCATTTTCTTTCAAGGATAGAATTTCAAGTCCTAACAGATCATTTGAGTCTATTTGAAAAGTTTTTATGTTGTTCTTGTCTAAATATAGATATTTTATATATTTGACTTCTGAAATATTTTTCGGGAATTCCTGTAAACCTTTAGCCTCAAGGTTAACTGTCAATTTATCTGACTCTAAGTCAGGTCCTTTCTGATCTTCGTTAAGGAGGTTTGGACTATTTTTTCCTAATGTATCAAGAGCTAGATTGTTAAAGAAAGATTGATATTCTTCAGTCATCTTAGTTATTGACAATGATGGATCTTGTAAAATTTCTTTTGACTCTGAGTTGACATTTCTAATACTGGTTTCAGAAAATTGGGGCTTTTCCTTTAGGTCGTCATTGCTCTTAGACTTATATCCAGGGGAAGTTGTTGACTCTAATATATCATTTTCAGGAGGTGTTTCAGAACTCTCGCTGGACGATTCCTCTTCCAGGCTATCGGAAGTTTCACTTAATGAACTTGATGTTTCACTATTAAATTCCAGCTCTTCCCTTGACTGCGATATAGATTCTTTTCTAAATTGACTAGTAGTGACATCCTCTAGCTCTTCTGAAGAATCCTCCTTTCCAGACATCTTATTTGCTGATGCGTTGTAGACTATCACAAGATTGCAACTTGATTTTAATTTTCATGTTTAGTTTTTTTTTTCCTCTGAACCTATAAAAAAGTTGATATTAAAAGAGGTATAATAAAGATCTCAAAATTGAAAATGAATTTTAATACATATAGGGTACAGGGTATAGATTAATAGTTTATTTTATAAGGAATAATTTAATAAATATAAAATAATACATTTATAATTGATAAACAAATTTTATATTTGATTCCTGGTTAAGAATAGTTTATTGATTACTCACACTTACTGCCTGTTACCTGAGATCACTTTAAAATGATGGATGGGAATAATGAAGATCAAAGAAAATGGGAGATGAGACATCAGTGAATGAGAGAACTCAGCAAATGTTTGGAAGACAGAAAGGGGATAGCCAGTGGCTATCTAAGAGTCCCATTCTGGTAGCATAGTGCCTAAGGCACTTGACTGCTAACCAGAAGGCTTGTGGTTCAAACTCACCAGCCACTCCTCAGAAGGAAAGTTGGGCAATCTACTTCCACAGTGGTACCGCCTCAGAAACTCAAGGAGGGGTCATTGCTCTGAGTCGGGTACGACTCGACGGCACATAACAACAACATTGTACATTTGCATATAGTACTAAAGTATCTTGTATCCAATTCAGAACTTTAGGGGAATTTTCTAACAGTTGTCTTAAGGAAAGGGACATTTTCTGTAAAAATAGGATGGCAGCCTGATTTTGAGGCTTTTGTGTGACTTCTGAGGTACCGTTACCAGCTGGGTAGCACTCCTCCTCAGTTCTGTAGGGTCCCTTTTCAAGCTTGTAGTTTCCAATAAACCAACCTCTTCTCTTGTCCCCTCAGCCCTAGGGATAGTAGTTACCTATTACTTGCTGCCATCAAATCAATTCCAACTCATAATGACCCTATAGGTTAGAGTAGAGCTCCTTCACAGGGTTTCCAAGGCTGTCAATCTTTATGGAAGCAGACTGCCAGAGTGACTATGGGTTCAAAGCAACGACCTTTAGGTTAGCAGCCAAGGGCTTAGCCACTGCGCCACCAGGGCTCCCAGATGGTAGCTACTTCCTGTATCTCTACCTTTTCAGTCCTCCAATACTCCCTATATTAAGTCCTTTCTATTAAACTGGTATTATTTCTGTGTTCCTGATTAAACACTAACATACCCTGAAATTGTATTAAGATCATACCAGATTGTTAATACCCTCAGACACTTGTCAGAACCAAACTAAAATCCTCTCTGGAAGAAGGTATCATCTTAGGCTTTGAATTATTTCATCTAGTATTCTTTTCAAATAAAATGACCAGCACACAATAAAAGAAAAACAGGGACAGGACAAGACAAGGTAACATGAATGAGAACTAACATGAACACAGAACCCCAAGTATTCAGATAGTAGGTTGATCAGATCAAGATATTAAAATAATTTTATTTTGTTTATTATGGAGATAAACAGACAAACAAAAATGTCAACATTAACAGGAAAGGATAAAAATTGAAATTACAGATTAAAGAACAAGAGAAATACAACTCAAAATGCTAGGGTTGAAAATGCATTAACCAAAATGAAGAACTCAGCAGACACATTTGAGTCAGACTGGCTCAAGAGAACAGTGAACTGGAAGAAAGTTCCAAAAGAGCTACCCAGACTAAAGCACAGAGTCAAAATGATAGCAAATGCCAAAGAAGAACTGGAGAGTAAATAGCAGTGAATACTAATCCACGTAAATTGAGTTCTAGAAGGACAAGAGAGAGTGAATAGAGCAGAAGCATTATTTGAAGAGATAATGGCTGAAGATTTCTTAAGATTTAAGAATGAAATCAGATTTAAGAATCCCAACAAATTGAAAGGAGGATAAACAAAATGAGACCCACTTCCAGATACATAATAGTGACATTTCAGAATACAAAGATAAAGAGAAAATCACAAAAAGCAGTAACTGATAAAACAAGCAAATACAGTAGCAGCCAAATTAAAAAAAAAAACCAAACTCACCGCTGTCGAGTTGGATCTGACTCTTAGTGACCCCCCTTGGGTTTCCGAGGCGGTATCTCTATGGAAGTAGATTGCTCAGTCTTCCTTCTGAAGAGTGGCTGGTGGGTTTGAACCACCAGCCTTCTGGTTAGCAGTCAAATGCCTTAGGCACTAGGCCACCAGAGCTTACAGCAACCAAATATATATATTTATTTATATATGCCTCACCAAAAACTACAGAATATGTATTTTTTATGAGTACACACAAAATATTTATAAACATTGACTATATACTGAGTCATAAAGAATATCTCAATAAATTTCAAAGGACTAACATCATCCCCAGTTTATTCTAAGACTACAGGGCAATCTAACAATAAAAGAATTTCCCTACATGTTTACAAATGTACTTCTCAACAAAAATGTGTCAGAGAACAAAGATACATTTAACTATGTAATAATAAAAAATACTGTATCAAAAATTTGAGAGCATGTGAAAAGATTTTCAATGTCAATAGCCATGAAGCAAATGCAATTTAAAATAATGAGATGCTAATACTTACCTATTAGAATGACTAACATTTAAAAAATGTTGACGATACCTGGTGCTGGTGAGGATGTAACTGAAACTTGTACATTGAGATGGAAACACAGCCTTTCTGGAAAACAATTTGGCTATTTCTTATAAAGTCCAACATACACTTACCATTATGACTCAGAACACTCACTCCTGGCTATTCACCCTTTAGTGGTGGTTCTTAAGAAAGGGGCATTTACAATTACACACATTTTTGGTTGTCACAACTGAAGGAGGAGTGGAGTGTTACTGGCATTTAGGGGGTTGGGGCCAGGAATGCTGCTAAACATGTACCATGCACAGGGCAGCTTCCACAACAAAGAATTATCTGAGCTAAAATAGCAATAGTGCTAAGCTTGAGATATCTGATCACAGAGAAATAAAAACTTAACTTCACAAAACTCTATTCTAAAAAAAAAACAAAAAACACCTCATTGCCATGGAGTCGATTTGACTCATAGCAACCCCTCCTTGGGTTTCCAAGGCAGTATCTCTACAAAAGTAGACTGCTCAGTCTTCCTTCCAAGGAGTGGCTGGTGGGTTTGAACCGCCCGCCAGTCTTCTGGTTAGCAGTCAAGTGCCTTAGGCACTATACCACCAGAGCTCCTACAAAAATCTATATACACAAAAATGTATACATAAATGTTTATAGAAATTCTAGCAATCATCTGAAAAATTTCTATTCATAATTCAAAACTGCAAACAGCTCATACATCCTTCAACAGATGAAAGGATAAATAAACTGGTGAATCCATATAATGGGACACTACACAGCAATAAAAAGGAATAAACTGTTTGACACTACAGCTTGAATGACTCTCAAAAGCAGTATGCCGAGTAAAAGAAGTCAATTATATATATGTAAGGTTATATATACTATACGATTCCTTTTGCATACCATTCCTAAAAATACAAAACTCTAGTAATACAGACTAGATCAGTTGTTGTCAGAGGTTAGGGGTGGAAGGAAAAGTGTTAATATAAAGAGGTAGTATGAGAGAGTATTTTAGGGTGATGGAAATGAACTGTTACCTGACTGTGGTAGTGGTTACACAAAACTACACATGTGTTAAAATTATACAACTACAGACCAAAAAATTTATTTTTACTACATGATAATTTTTGAAGTCACAGGGTGTGACAAACACCATGTATACAAAAAAAATGTATAGTCTTAAGTGTGTATCTTAGAAAAGATGAAACCTGTAAATTAACTTAAGAAGTTAGAAAAAATATAGAAAAATAAACCCAAAGTGAAAGACAACATTAAAGGTGAGCAAGAAATTAAGGGGAAAAAAAAACTAGAAAGGCTCAACAGTGCCAAAAATCAATTCCTTGAAAGCACTCTAAAGAAATGCATCTAGTAAGACTGTTCAAGAAAAAACAAGAGAAAAAAGACACAAATAACTAATATTGGGAACAACAATGAAAAAGGACATAGTTCTATAGAACCTATAGCCATTAAAATGACAATAAAAGGATATTATAAATAATTTTATGCCAATATGATAGTTAAGGTTGCGTGTCAACTTGGCTGGACCAGAATTCTAAGTGGTTTAAGCAGTTATGACAGTCATTCCCTACGATGAGATCTGATGTAATGTAATCACTTCTAAGATGAGATGTTCTATGAGCAGCAGATCAGTTGAAAGGGCTTCCTCAGGGGTGTGGCCTGCTTCCTATATATATATGAAAGTCTTACATAAATGTTTATAGCAATTATCTACATAATAAAATCATACAACTACAGACCAAAAAAGTTATTTTTACTAAATGATAATTTTTGAAGTCACAGGATGTGGCAAACACCATGTTTACAAAAAAAATATATAGTCTTAAGTGTGTATCTTAGAAAAGAAGAAACCTGAAAATTAACTTAAGAAGTTAGAAAAAATATAAAAAAATAAACCTAAAGTGAAAGACAACATTAACAGTGAGAGCAGAAATTTAGGTGGGAAAAAAAAAAACCTATAAAGGCTCAACAGTGCCAAAAATCGATTCCCTGTTGTTGTCAGGTGCCACTGAGTCATCTCCAACTCATAGCGACTCTATGCACAGCAGAACAAAACACTACCCAGTCTTGTGGCAGCCTCAAGAACTTTGCTATACTTGAGCCCATCATTGCAGCCGCTTTGTCTATCCATCCTGTCAAGGGCCTTCCCCTTCTTTGTTGACCCTCCACTTTACCAAGCATGATATCCTTCTCCAGGGAATGGTTCCTTCTGACAGCATGACCAAAGTAGGCAAGACTAAATCTGGCCATTTTCTCTTCCAAGGAACATTCCGGCTGCATTTCTTTTAGTAAAGATTTGTTAGTCCTTTTAGCAGACCATGGTACTTTCAGCATTCTTCACCAACACCACAACTCAAAAGTATCAACTCTTCTTAGGTCCTCCTTATTCATTGTCCAGCTCTCACACACACAAAGGCAAC